GGTGTTTGAACGCCTAATGCCCTAAAGCCGTCTGGTTTGGGAGTCATTGACCTAATGCTTGACCTCATGAATCGCTAAAAAGCTTAATAGATCAACACATTACACTATACTTCCATCTTTGATTCTAAAAAAAAAAATCGAGTGAAAAGAATAAGCACACCTAGAACAATAAAACTTTAATAAAAGGTCTATTTTTTGTCTTGATGATCGGTACTAGAGTTGTGTGCTAGTTTGAGGATAATGATGTGATCATTTCTTTAGTTGGCTAAGATAGCAATATATTTGATGCCGGTCCACTCAAAAAGGATTCTAGAGTTGTTTTGATTTGTATGATCATTTTCTTGATGTGTGGAGGACCATACTTGCTTACTTGATGTTGAGATTTTGGGAGATTATTTAGAAATGTTTGAAACATTGCATACTTGAGGTAGTTTTCTCCCAATGCTTGTTTGCAATATTGGTGCCTCTTTTGAAAGAATGAGTTTAATGTTTGTGGGTATCATTTCTGGAAACCCTCACGAGACTTCACTCGTCCACTAGGGATAACCTAGGGGTTTAAAAGGCTTGTTGCATGTGCTAAGTGCAATCGTGTTCCCTACGAAAGTGGCGTTATTCATTTATTGCTTTCTAGTTCATACTTGTATAGTTGTTTATTTCATTCCTTTACTTTCTAGTTCATTACTAAGGACTAACAATATTTAAGTTTGGGGGTGTGATGAGCGCTGAAAAGTGCGTATTTAAACCCCTTAAGCTTAGGCATTCTAGTACCTTTATCTATCTTACTTTACCGTTTTAGATTAATTTCGTATTATTTCCATTTTCAGGCACTTATTCCGAAAATAAGCTAACTCAGCCAAATAAGAGCTTAATTGAAGCAATTCTGGCATGAATCAAATAAATGAGCCAAGTGGAAGCAAAAGGAAGAAAAAGGTGAAAATCAACATCTTCGATTGATCTCAGATCAAAGTTCGATCGATCCAACATGATCGATCTTAGCACTTCAAGATGGATCAGAGCTATGATGATATTTTCAGAGATCTCAAAAGTTCGATCGATCCAACACCATTCTTCGATCGATCGAACTACTTTGTCCTTATCAAAATGATTGATCTTATCTAGTTGTACCACCCTACCAACCACTTTTGTCCTTTTCCTAAAAATATCTTCAAAATATCTCAGATTTGTCTTTATCCAAAAAGCGCTACCATTGAAGATCGATCCAGCCTAAGTTCGATAGATCTCAGCCAAGTTTGATTGATCCAAGTCCAAGGTTCGATCGATCGAACTTCCTTCAGTGCGAAAAAGTTAAAAAGCCAGCTCATTCAAGTTGTCTTGTATCCAATCATTGGGGAATATTCTTTGCATGACCCCAGCTCATTTTGTGTGTTATTTGACCTACCTATATAAGGAATATGAGGCACTTTTTGAGGGAGCTCCTTAAAGAATTAGAGATACAACCTTAGAGGCAATTCTTAAGGTAGAAGAAAAAGAAGGAGGAGGCTAGAGACACAAAGTGGGGAGTTCTTCATCAACAAGGAGCATATTTCTTCCATGGAGTTAGCCCCTGAGGGTTAGAGCAACATCACCATGAGTGGCTAGACATCCTCTTAGGACTAGAGTTAGCCCCAAGCATGTTTTCTATATCTTAATCTTGTGTATTATTGAGGGATTAGCGTTGTAATTAATGTTTTGACACTTTGATATATATAGATCTTGATTGTTCAATGATTTATGTGGTTAATGCTTTCAATTGATCATTTCATTCTATCCATATGTCTATGCATGTTAGAATAGATGTTCATGTGCTTGTCTCTAGATTTTGTGTTATTGATGCATGTCTATGTGTATTGATGCTATAGATTTAGAGATTGTCAAAACATAGTGCTTAATAGAATGCTCTTGTGATTTTCTTAATGGTTCATACTTATTCCTTGATGGATTGTACCTCTCCTTTAGTTTATCTTCATGCTAGTAGTGTAGATGTAGTGTAGTTGTAGTGTAGTGTTAAATAGGAGGACAATCCATACTTATTGTTTGATGATCCATGCTTTTGAATGCAAGTAGCATATGTCTCTAACCTTGTGTTGTATATGGATTGTGAGCTTAATGAAAGGATTAATGACTTGTTTTGATCTATTGTGCCTTTCACATGTTGTTTAGACAATATATGCTTCATTACTTAGATATATTGTGCCTTTCACATGATGTTTAGACAATACATGCTTAACTAATCATCCTTACTTGTTGAATCAACCAAACACACACACACACACACCAATATTGCAACACACCATTTGCCCTCATTAGTCACTTGTCAATGGAATAGAAATGCATTACTTGGTGGTGATTTCTAAACCCTAAGACTCTTTTCTCTCTTATTTGCTCTTAATTGCATTCTTTTGTTATCACTTAGTTTAATTTAGTTGCTCTCTAGTCTAATCAATCAACCAACCAATTGTTTGATCACTCGACCTACTAGCCTTAATAGCGATTCCACAACTTTGTTCGACCCTCACAATCCCTTGGGACGATCCCTACTCGCCCTAGCTATATTTTTAGTGAAGGTAGTAGAGGCTTTTATAAATGTAAAACTTGGCCCTCGCCTTAATGCACACTCTTAAGCTTATGGTAGGACGACGACCACAGGGCATGTAAAATAGCTTACTGAAAATTGATGGGTAAGTTATTTTTGTTAGGTTTTAATATTTTTTTTTTTCGTAAATATTTTAAGACAACCAAACACCAGAAAATAAAAATATATATATATATATATTTTTTGAAAAATATTTTACATTCAAACAAACAAGGAGAAATGAAAAACACACACACACACACACACATATATTTATAAACGGGCAAAGTCTCACACAGTTGGAGGATACTTTGGGGCATCATTTATTGACTAAAATATTCTCATGCGCAACAGTAAATCTGTCCCCTCAAGTTAGTGATGCACATTAGGAAAATATTATGGCATTAGGCTTGCATCTCAATATTTTCCTAACATGTATCACTAACTGGAGGGGACCGGTTTACTGTTATCTTGAAGAGGATTTTGATCCCACCATTTACACCTCTTTTTGGCAAATATTCCAAAGGGAAAAAAATGTAATACCATAGGCAATGAAATGGCTTAGCTGCTCAATTTAATTTGAGGCCTTAGGCGAAAAATAAAAAAGTGGCTTTTCATTATAGTATAATTTTCTAATTCTTTTAGGTAGTTTAGTTGTTCATTTATTTAATTTTCACCTTTTTTATGTTTTAATTATTAATTGTAGCAATTTTATCAATAACCCCTTTTCGAGATTGAATTAGTTTATTTATTCTTGTCATCACTTTCTAATTTCTAATAGATATATCTCTCCTAAACATATTCAATCACATAAATAAAAATATTCAACTCACAAACAAAATATAATGATAACAAAAATTAATTAGATTAAAAAATAATTTAAGGTAAAGAACTAGAACTTAATTTAGAAAAATATGATCCATTGCTTCAAAAAAAAAAAAACTTTTCAAATAAATCTTCAAATGGAGTGAGACTGTGAGATTATGATGAATAGAGACGAGGATGATGTTGTAATGAGAGAAGAGGATGAGTAGAATCCACTGTCTTGGTGCGAGCATCTTGGTTGTCTAATTTCTTCTTCAAGTACTAGTATAATTGACAAGGATCCTCTCCAGTTCTGCACAGAATTCAGTGATGAAGATTGAACAACCACTAAATTCTAGGGTTGTAACTTGGGCGGGCTAACCCAGTCCAACCCAAATTTTTTGAAATTTGGACTTTAAATTCATAAATCGGGCTCATGTTTGGGTTGGGCTCGGGCTCAACCCGAACCCAATCCAATCCAAAATAAAAATATATATATATTTTAAAAAAATTTCTCCTCTATCTCTTTTTTCTCTTTATCTTTCTCTCTTTGCCGCCGTCCCCTCCGCCGCCGAGGCCGCCGTCCCTTCTGCCTCTGCTGTTGCCGCCGTCCCTTCTGCCTCCACTGCCGGCCAAGTTGATAGATCTAGCATCCACAAGAGTTTCAAGTTTCCAATCTTAAGCGGGATCAAACTAGAAAGTTGATCCATCGCCGCCATCGTCCTTCCGCTTCTGTCGCTGCCGCCACCGCCGTGACTTCCAAAAATTAAAACAAAACCCATACATACAAGTTAGCAGTTGTAGAGAGAGAGTGGGGCAAGCTTGAGAGTTGAGAGACAGCGGCTAAAGCTTGCGAACGGCGAACTAGAACTGGAACAACGGGTGATGGAAATTGAAAGATATGGGTTTTGAACTTTTGATTCTTGTAGACAGATAGATAAACTGAAATATATGGGTTTTGAACTTATGATTCTTGTAGATTTTGTAGTTTGCAGTTACAGAGAGAGAAAAGGGGGGGGGGGGGCGGGGGAAGTTCAGAGTCGGGAACAAGAATAGAGATGCGGGCAATTGGGGAAGCTAAAATGATTTACCCTAAAAATATTTTGTTTTTTAATAATAATATAATCATATATATATATATATATATATATATTTTCGAGAAAAGAAATTTTTTTTTTTGTTTTTTTTTTTAAAAAAAAACTCAACCAGTCAAACCGATCCAACCCGTCCAAAAATAATCGTTCCCAATTACGATCATAACTTATGTGGAGGTATAATTCGAGTTGGTCCAACCCAACCCTATTTCAGATTGAGATTGAATTGAAACTGAATTAGGTTGAGCCAACCCAACTAAATTTTATACAGGACCTCTCCTCACCTGCACCGGAGACGAACATTGTCCGTATTATTAAACCCTCAAATCCACTCCATTGGTTTTTGTAAACCAGAAGGTAGTCAAAATAGGGTTCCATTTCCTCATCATAGGTACCTAACACACTACACTGTTAGGTGCGCGACTGGCCCCACTGCACCTCTCAATTTACAAGGCCATAGCCAGTACTAATAATATATATATATATATATATATATATATATATACACTGTGTATGTATGTCTGTCTAAATCGGGTCTTGCAAAATAGAGATGTTGATTGTAACGGTTGTTAACTAAAACGGTGCTAGGGCTTACTTAAGTAGAGAGCACTACTTTGTTAGCGACGAATAAGAAGAAAATGTCGGATTTCTTACCTCATGATTTGTTGCCCGACGTCCTCAGCAGACTACCGAGCAAAACCCTCCTCCGGTGTGCTTGTGTCTGCAAATCGTGGTACAATTTGGTAATAAACCCTAGTTTCATCACCACACACCTCAATCGATCATCTCTTGCCACCAACCTTCTGCTAATTCAAAGCCGCTCTGGTGATGATGCCGAAGAAGTGCATTACTCACTACTAAGTTGCGAAAACGAAACGTTCTGTGACTATGCAGAGCTTGATCTTCCACTGAAGACTCACACCGACCCTGATTTGAGGATAATCGGTAGCTGCAATGGGCTCGTGTGCCTTTTTAATGATTTCAGGTACAGAGTGGAGCTTTATCTATGGAATCCATCGATTCGGAAGACGATGGCTCTTCCGCCATTACGGGTCACCTCACACATTCCTTTTATGCATTCTATCGAATTTGGCTTCGATTCTGTGACTCGTGACTACAAGGTTGTCAGCATTGTGTATATCAAAGACGATTCACGAGACGGTTATCGAATTCCTCCGGAGGTTGACATTTTCAGTCTTAGCTCAGGCACATGGCGGAACATCAGCCATTTGGCTCTTCCGTATACAATCTACGATCGGCCTCCGCATGCTTATCTGAACGGGGCTGCACATTGGCTTGCTTGCGATATGGCGAACAAATTCTTACACTTGATCATGTCATTCCACATGGGCGATGAGATTTTTGGCGAGATCATGGTGCCCAGTAGCATTTTTCATGGGTACGGGATGGTAAATGTTCGTGTTGCTAAGTTTCAAGAATCACTCTCTCTGATTGATGTTTGTAATTGGGGCAATACATGTTGTTGCATATGGGTGATGAACGAGTATGGGATATCAGAGTCTTGGACTAAAAAATTCAATATTGATATGAGTGAAGGATTATTCAATAGTGTAATTGGCTTTACAAGGAAAGGTGAAGTTATATTTGGGACACAGGCTGGGTATCTTGTAGCTTATGATCCCGAAGCTGAACGAGTAATGGATCTTCATATTCGCGGACCTACAAAATCATGGCTTGGGGACTTATGTTATGCAGATGCTTATACTGAGAGCCTAGTTTTTTTAAGAGGAAAATTTCATGATACAGTCACTTGTAAGGAGTCCCTGTTTTGCATGGAGAAGCTGAGTAGGAGAAAGAAAAGAAAAGCAGACCAAACAAAAAAGAAAGGTAAAGAACAGGCAAGATGCATAATTTTACTTAATACATTTTATATTTGCTATTGTTAAGTTCTGTTTTTGCTACATGTGAATGTAAAAGCTTAACCTAGCATTTAAGTAACCTCTATGTCATCATTGCCCTAGTACGGTAGTGTGAGATTATTATTATTGCTTTTTGTCAATTGCTGTTTCATATTCTCTTTGAGGAGTTACAATTATTGTTGATCTTGATGTCGGTTTGTGCCTGATATGCAATGAATTTTCTTTCAGGACTGTGATCAGGGTGGAAAGTCAAAACGAGGAAGCCCGAGACACTGTAGAACTGTTGAAAGAATAGAAGTGGCATAATGAACTCTTTACCTGTTTTTTGTTACTTTTATTTGGCCTACGGTACAAAAGTTTACCTGATGCTTTTGAACTCTTAAAGCATTTGGGCTTGATGTGAACTTTCATAGGAAAAAGTTGACTCACTCATGATGCTTTTGAACTCTTGGAGCATTTGGACTTGATATGGATTTAGATGTTATGCTGAAAGTATCTGTTATCCACTATTGCTTATTTTTTTATGCCACTGTATCTTCTAAATTTTGTATTGGGGTACAAGCCACATTATATTATATGGATTAAGTTGTCAAGAGGAGCTTCTATAGGTTGCGTTGGTGGATATCGTGCCAAGCATTTAGAGGCCACTAGTAGGTAATATTTTGTAGGAAATCATAGCTAGTTTTCCTTTTGGCTCTGATAATACTACCGACATTAAGGTTGCCTTGTTTTGTTTGCTAGTCAATCTCGAGTTCAAACTTGAGCTCAATAAATGAACTATGTTCACTAGTCTTAAATTTTTTCCTAGTTGGGTACTCACACACACATGCTTCCATTGAGACTCGAACCCCTGACCTCTCTTTGAGAGGTAGGGGCTTGGTACCGCTAGGCTACTGACCTGTTGGTCACTAGTCTTAAATTATGCTGGCGTGATTGCTAACTTACACAGATAGACTCTTATGTAGTTGAGCCTGTGCTGTTCATGAGTTGGTCACTTATTGGCCATGTGCCACTGCGTAGTTGGATTTGTACCTCTAATTGGTGAAAAGACTATCATCATCCACATTGAGTTAATTAATGAACTTGAATGATATTCCAAGAGCTGTGCTATTCACTCCTCATTATTCTGTTCTTCCCGACGATGTGATGAGACTACAACACAATGTATGACCTTCAGGCCACTTATTACCATGTTTAAGTTTCAGCCATTTCTTTTTGCCTTCTCTATTTGTAGCTCTAGTTTTTACTTTACTCTTATATCCTATTGGAAGGGAAAACATTAGAGGGAATCTAGCTCATATAAGAAGTGCAAAGCATGTCTGGGATTTCTAGTCAACTAGAAAATAATCTGGCTGCTATAAATAGCCCATGAATTTGTTCTGTTCTCTTTGGAGTACTAAGTTTGGTTCTATTCTATTTGGAGAAATAGGGTTGGATGATTATTTGAAATTCAGGGAAAAATATTTATTCTTGGGGCCGGCAGCCAGACTTGGTTGGTTTTTGCCAACTTATTAAGGAAATAACATTTAATGATCTGCCAGGGCAGGTTCATTTTATTGTGATGATTTGTTTAATATCCTTTATCGGCTTCATAAAAGTTTATTGATTAGTATATAATTCAACAATCTCGTTTTCATAAATAAAAATAAACTAGTTTTCATGTCTGTGTGAATTCCACTTTTAGAACTGCTCCTACTATTGTGCTCTTAGTCTTCTAATTTGAGCTAAAAAGAAAATGATGGATTTGATTTTTTATTATTTTTCATGGCAAGAAACTCACACCCACATGCCCCCATGGGAAATTGAACCCTCAACCTTCTTCTTTGGAGAGCGAGGAAGTACCACTGGGCTACAGCCCGTTGGTGGTAAGTGATGCATTTGATGAAAACAGTAATTAATCAGCTAATAGCTTCATTGATAGATGCAATAAAGTGTCTTCTTTTCATGCTTCATTTTTTCTTCTTCCTTTTTCCTTTCGGTTTGTCAGACATATTCCTGTTATTTGAATTGAATAACATCTTTGATATGATGTGTTTCTTTATAGTATTCTCAGGTGCTAGACCTGTTTGCTTAGGAATGCTAATCTAGTTGATAGCGGAACCCATATCAAGTTTGATGGTATTAATATATGTACCTTGCCTATCTTCCGAGTCATAATTTCTTGTTCCAAGGACATTGTTAACAGGCTGCACCTCCCAAGTTGCTAGCTTGTGAAGGAATTCGTTCAGTGTAGAACAACAAATGCATCAATCTTATATATTGTTGATTCATGAAATCCTATACTTTGTTTTCTCTCCTTTCTTGCAGTCTATTCAACTACATGTGGCAATTATTTTATTTTTACATGGATGAAGCAAGGCTTACAATGTTAAAATTCATGGGAACTATTGAGACTAATGAATTATGTTATCAAGTTCGATAACATTCATCGAGAGAAGAATTCAGAGACATTTTCCCCCCTCTTTTCTTCCTTTTTTGTGCGTGTGAGTGGTTTTACTAATCACCTCAACTCTGCTTAAAACATATTTCTGTGAACTAATTAGCTAGGTAAGGTTCTATTTGGGTGCTCTATTGTTATGGAGCAAAATGGTGATATCAACCAAGCAGAAAACAAAATCGTGAATCAAATTTCCTTCTTTTGGTGAAACTTTTTGTGATGCTATGGAAAAGTTATGTATTTTATTGTGTAGTTGGCTTTACAAGGGAAGGCGAAGTTCTATTTGGGACAGAGGCTGGGTATGTGGTAGCTTATGATCCAGAAGCCAGATGTGTAACGCATCTTCATATCCTTGGATCTAGACATCCATTGTTTAAGGATTCGTTTTATGCGGATGCTTATACTGAGATCCTAGTTTTATTTAGTGCAAAATTTCGTGATACATTCGCTTGTGAGGAATCACCTGTTTTGCACAGAGAAGCTATTGGAGCTAAGAAATCCAGGAAAATAAGAGCAAAACCAAAGAAGAAAGGAAAGAAGAGGCAAGATGTTTACTTACTTTTAAATCTTATATTTGCTATTGCTAAGTTCTGTTGTGGCTGCATGTGAATGCAAAAGCCCAACCTAGCATTTAATTAACCTACATGTCATCATTTCCATAGTAGGTAGCATAAGCTTGAATTTTTTTGTTCAGTTAGTGTTGCATATTCATATCTTGAGGAGTTAAATTATTGTTAATCGTGAAATATTTTCATGCCTGGTGTGCAAGGAATGTTCTTTCTGCACTGTGATCAGGGTGGAAATTTAAATGAGGACAGAAGGTGTAGAACTGTTGAAAGAGTAGAAGTGGCATAGTGAACTCTTTCCCTATATTCTTTTGTTACTTTTAGATACATAAATTGTTTACTGATGTGGTTTAAAACTTTTTGTGGGCAATATTTAACTCAGTCATGAAGCTTGTAAAGTCTTGGAACATATGCGCTTGATGTGAACTTTCAATGGGAAAAAGTTAACTCACTCATTGCTTTTGAACTCTTGGAGCATTTGGGCTTGATATGGCTTTAGATGTTATGCTGAAATTATTTGTCGTCCATTATTGCTTATTTCTTTTCTGCCATTGTATCTTCTAATTTTCTTTGGGATACGAGCCACATTATATTATATAAATTAAGTTGTTATGAGAAGCTTCTTTAGGCCGAGTTACTGGATGTTGTGCCAAACATTTAAAAGTCACTAGTTGGTAATATTTTGTAGAAAATCATAGCTAGTTTTCCTTTTGGCTGGTATAATGCTAGCCGAGTTTAAGGTTGGCTCGTTTCACTTGCTAGCCAATCTCGAGTTCAAACTTGAGCTCAATAAATGAGCCATGGTCGCTAGTCTTAATGAGTCTGCTTATGATTATCCGTTTATCAACATTCTTGTGAGTTTAATGAGTCAAGCAAGGTTTATTCATAGTTGGTTCTCTTACTTAATGAGGTCGAAAATGTTGAGTAAATTATGCTGGTGCACTGTGCTAACGGCTAACTAAAACAAATAGAGCTCTTACATAGTTGAGGCTGAGTTGTTCATGAATCGGTCAATTGTTTGCTACTTATGGGCCATGTGCCACAGTAGGATTTGCACCTCTAATCGGTGAAAAGACTTAACTTGAATTGTATTCCAATAGCAATGCTGTTTACACCTCATTATTCTGTTCTTCCTTTGCCTTGATAGGATGAGACTAAAACACAATGTATGGTCTTCATGCCACTTATTACCCTGTTTAAGTTTCAAGCATTTCTTTTTGCCTTCTCTAATTGTAACTCTAGTTTTTACTTTACTCATCCCTATTGGATGGCAAAACTTTAGAGGAGATCTAGCTCATATAAGCAGTGCAAAACAAATCTGGAAATTCTAGTCCATGAATTTGTGCTGTTCTCTTTGGAGTACTAAATTGGTTCTACATAGAGTCAGATAATTTCTTTAAATTCATGAAAAAAAAAAAAAAAAAATTCTTGGGGAAGGTACCGTGCTTGGTTGGTTTTGCCAACTTATCCAGGAAGTAACTTTAATGATCTGCTAAGGCATGTTCTTTTTTGCGATGATTTATTCTAATATCCTACGTTGGCTTCATAAAAATTTGTTGATAAAATCATTAACCATCTCATTCTCACAAATAAAAATCAATTAGTTTTCATGCCTGTGTGAAGCCCACTTCTAGAACTGCTCATACCTGACTTCGTGGTTTTAGTATTCTAATTTGAGCTCAAAATTTTTATGCATTTGATGAATACAGTAATTAAACAGCTATATATATGTATGTATATATCTATATATTTTCATGCTTCTTTGTTTTTTTTTTTTTTTTTTGCCTTTTCCCTTTCAGTATGTCATAGACACATTTTATGTCCTTTCATTTGAGTTAATAACGTCTTTGATATGATGTGTTTCTTGATGGTATTCTCAGATGCTAGACCTTGTTTTGTTCGTACACTCATTTAATTAATAGTGGAACCCATATGACTTGATGTTTGATGGTATTAATATATATACCTTGCCTATATTCTGCTGTACAATTTTTGAGTTTCAAGGACATGGTGAACAGGCTGCACCTCGGAGCTTGTTAGATTGCGAAGGCATTCCAGCAGTGTAGAAAACAGGTGCATCAATCTAATCTATTCTTGGTTCTTGAAATCCCAACTTTTGTTTTCTCTTCGTTCTTGCTGTCTATTTGTCTACGTGGCAAATTCTTTTTACGATTATGATGTAGGGCTTACAATGTAAAAATTCATGGTTGGATAACATTGATTGAGAGAAGAATTCATAGTTTTTATTTTTATTTTTTGGTGGTGTCATTGTACTAACCACCTCAACTCTGCTTAAACATTATTTTTGCGAGCATATTAGCTAGTTAAGGTTCTATTTAGGTGGTCTATTGTCATGGAGCTAAATGATGATATCAAACAAGCAGAAAATGATATCTAGTTAGCATTATTTTTCTGTCAAGGGTCTGCCTGTGCTGCATGAAATTGTTTCTCATGAGAAATTTGATATTTTCCTGAAGTGTTTGTGGAATAATTGTTGTGATTAAGTCCTTACAATTGTGTGATATTTCTTTTATATAAAAATTTAATTTATAAACAGTGGTAGGTATATCTCATTCCCAAAGTCTGATTATCTTGGGTAAACAAATGTATTTAGTTAAAAATTTTGTTGATCTATCATTGATGCTGCTTCGCTTTGGAATCTCCAAGACTAAAGTTTCAATCTAAGCTATTTTGCAATCTTTTTTCTATAAATTGCATGTTGACTTCCTTTAGTTTTTAAATAAATTTCTCTTTGATCAATTCTTTAACATAATTTAGTTCCCTTTTTAATGTACTTGATCTTTTGGGTTGATCATTTACTTTCAACACTTATCTAATTTTAAGCACATAAACTTCAATTACACATGATTTGATATAATTAGCACAGTAAAGCTGTTCCCCAGTCATAATAAAACATATATTCTGAAAAATTAGTTTGCTTTCTTCATTTTGCTGAACATAACAAAGGATTGAATGATGAAATTCATTAAGAGAAACCTACTTTTGGGGGAAACATTAAGCAAAACCTCCTCCATAGTTTTGCTGATCAGGTGCTAAAGAATAGTGTTTCCTTAATTTTATTTGGTGAATTTTGAGTTTATGAAACCCGGGGCAAAGTTTGCTGAATAGGTCAGTGAGGTTCTCCGACGGTCCCTTCTCTCATGGTGCTGTTAATATTAGTCTCTGATTATGTGTGACGGATTTTCTCTGTTCTTTGTTCTTGTCGAGAAGCTTGATTCTGTAATGATGTTTTACCATCCTGATTTTGCTTGGATTTTCAAGCTTGATGCTATAATATTGGGTTATTGTTTTACTACTTTTTTTTTTTTTTTGAATTGGTTGGGGGCTCTATCTAAAGTTTGATTTTGTGATATGAGTTTGCTTCTACAACCTCTTCTCTGGATTGCCCCCGTTCCCACTTGGGTTATTTGCCCATAGTTAGTACAAACAGTATAAGAACAATTATACACTTTTGCTCAAATGCTTTCAACAGTGTCACTCTATAATTTTATGGTCCTGCTATGTTCTCTTGTTATGTGATGTTGATTCTGTTTACTCTTTTTTTTTTTTTTTTTTTCCTTGAATACCATTGCAAGGATTACTATAACCAAAGATAACAGTAAATTGTTAGTACAATAAAAATTCCATAAAGAACTCTTGTTTTGGGGTCAATTTTTTGTTCTCTGTTCAGTCAATTTATATGTATGTGCTGATCCTCTTATGGTTGAATAATGTTCATTCTAATTGGTTTTGTTGAATGGTAGAAGTAGTTGATTTTGGTGCCAATATGACCAAGTTAGTTATATGTATGTGCTGATACTCATTACCTTGCATTTAATTTTTTTAGTTTCAATCTAACTATGGTATATTGGTTTTGATTGTTTTAATTAAATGTCCATATTGTGTAGGGGAAGCATACATATGACAAGTCAGTTTGAAGAAGAAGTGCCTACTGAGTTTTCAGTGGACCAGAATAGGAAGAAACAGGTTCTCATGTTCTATAAAACCCAACAAAAGAAGTGACATGAGTCCTCAAAATTATCTTAGACAAGTGAGTTTGAACTATTTTTATTCATTTTATTGTTACTTTAAGCTGCCTAAGAATGCTATTCTGTTTAGCAGATAAATGACTATCTTGATTTCCATTTGAAAATGAATAACCTACTTTCTTTTAATTTAATTTTCATTTCTGCTCTGCTCAGTTGCTGAAAAAGGAAAAGGAAAACATTTTTTTCCCCTCACAAATGAAAGATTAATTGAGCTTTTTTTCCCCTAGGTGAATTGTAATTTATATGATTTTGTATCATAGAATACAATCTTCAATATTCCTGACAGGGCAGAACATATTACAAGAAACATTGTAGCAGAGCAATCTGATCCATATGAGGAATTCGATATAATATCCTGAAAAAAAAAAAAAAAAAAAAAAAAAATTCCAATTCATCTCAACGAAGCCTTAAATTTCTACCGTTTATAGAAAAGAAAAATTGAGGAAAATTGATAGAAACGTTTAAATCCGATTTACAACTATATATAGTTTCTATTTCATTTGTTGCAGATGGAAGATGATTTCTGCATTACAGTGATGGATCTAGTGAGGAGTCTTCGATTGGATTTCCTAGATTTCTTGTGCCTTGCATATATATATATATATATTTGTACATTAGAAGCTTGGAAGAGCTAGGAACAAACCCTAGATAAAGTAATTTGCTACCTCTTTTACAGACCTCCAGAGAGAGATTAGGCTAGGCCTGTGAATCTTGATTTCTCTTAATTTTTTGTTCTTGTTTTTGCATGGTGGACTTGTTAGACCACGTGTGATCAACCGCATGCCAGAAAAGAAATCTCTATCGCGGATCATACTTAATTTGTTTGAAGCTTTGAGGGATGAACTCATTGCTTGCAGCTGAGCACAGGTCTTTTCATTTTTATGCCCATTTGCTTAGCATGTACTAAGAAAATATCCGGTTTTTGAAAGAGTTATATTTGTTTTCCAGTATTTATCAAGGTCAGCAAATGCTCTGAATTTACCAATCTGAGGATTTGTCCCTGACACTACATTGCACTATTGCAGGTGTGTCTGTATATATAGTAGTAGAAGAAATACCTCAGCATGATTAGAGATTATGCTAGCCACAGAACATTTTGATGTTTTTTTAACCTTGATGGTACAAGAGAAATGATTCAGCTCCTGAAACTATTCATCCGGGCTCATCCAATCGGGGAGACGAGCCCTCCCTGATGATTGTCCAGCTCCCCATTTGGATGAATAGTTTCAGGTTACCATTCGATCACACGGTCATTATATGCATAGCATCGGTTTCGGGTTCAATTCCTGGACTGATGACTACAAGGTTCGTCAGGATTGTGCATCTCGAGGAACCCCCTGGTATTGGCAGTTTTCGGACTCCACCGGAGATTGAAATTTTTAGTCTCAACACAGGCACATGGCGGAACATCAGCCATTTGGGTCTCCCGCATACCATCTGTGGGGGGACTCCACAAACTTATCTGAACGGGGCTGCACATTGGCTTGCTTGCGATCGGAAAAACAGGAACAAATTATCCCACTTGATCGTGTCATTCCACATGGGTGATGAGGTTTTTGGCGAGATCAGCGTGTCCGGTAGCATTTTTAGCCAAAACTAAAGAAAATGTTCCTGTTGCCAAGTTTCAAGAATCACTCTGTGTGATTGTTGGTCTTTCGGGCCAAAGTTGTACTTGTTTGATATGGGTGATGAATGAGTATGGCAAATCAGAGTCTTGGAGTAAACAATTGAATTAATATTTTACTTTGTTAGGTTTCAATCTATGCTGGTTTCAACTTTCAATCCATGCTGGTTTTATTTGATGGTGCTAGTTTATTTACTAGGGAGGTTGAGCTCTCTGCAAGTTCCATGAAAAATAACTTTTGGTGAAGACGAGAACGTAGGGCTATGGTAGAAGAGCATGTAAGACATTAACTTTAAATTTAAGGTCATTTTAATACAATATTTTATAATTTTGGTCAGCAAAATTTAACTTTCCCAAAAAAAAAAATAATAATAAAATAAATAATAATGATGGAATAATGTTAGATAACCATAGGAAATAGGAGTTCATTCTTTAGGCCGGCAACAGGCTATTAGGTCTCTCCTATTAGTTGGAATGTAACAAGGAAATAAGATTTTTAAGGGGGTAATATAATATATGAAAAAAATTAGTACCTTTTGCTGGGGTGTAATCTAGGAAGCACAAATATTTCTGTTAAGTTGTTGTCATGGCCACCCGGGCAAGGATCAAACGCCTTCAAGTGGGCGGTAAGATTGAACTTTCTTTCCCAGCTATTGAGAAAATGCTGACGGAAACGCGGTTATAATTTAGGAAGTACACATACTTCCCTTAAGTTGTCGTATCAGATACAAGGACACCACATACACGGGTATAATTTAAGAAGTATCTCTTAAGATGTTGTGGATGTATTGACACTCCAGACACTTATCGAATACGCGACTCGAACACGTGTCACATATGGTAAGAAATATTCTGAATAGTAAATATTTTATTTTTCGACCGGATAAGACGGGGACATGACATAAATATGTTTTAGACATTTTTAGGATATGACGGGATGATTTGTAATTATATATTTTTTATAAATAGAATAGAATTCAATGAAATTTAAAACATATTATGGATGGGTTAGTTAAAAAATAATACGGAGTACAAAGTTAAAAAAATAAAATAAAATAACAAACATATAACTTTAAACTACAAATTATTATTGATTTATTTATAATTATATGGATAAAATGGCAAAACAAACAACTTTTATAACTCTCAAACTTGATATATTATTTCTTCTCATTTCTTGCTTACAAAATAATTCAAGAACATGTATTTATAGGCACCAATACATGCATAAATCTAAAAAGTAGATACAAAATACAAGATAATAAATAAGACACTAATTTTTAGACAAGTTTTTCATCACCCAATAAGTTGATTCATCTATTCCACACTTTTGATGTTCCCAACCAAATTTGGTTTAGTTTTCCAATAATGCCTCCCGTAAATCAAATTTACTTTTCTTCCCAATTTTGCAAGCTTTGTTTTGAAAATATTTCCACTATTAGACTTCCCTGAATAAATCTGCCAATTGATCTTCGGATATGGTATCTTTTACATACCCCAAAATTCTTTTATCAGCGTCTTAGTGTTTTGAAAATGGTTTCTACATGTACCGCTTGACAAAATTAAGCGCAAACATGATATCCGACCTTGTAACTGTTAAATACATCAAATTTCCAATGCTTTCAAATGCAAAAATATTCTTTGCATGCAATCTCCTTTGCTGTGCAGACTCTGCATCTTGACTTTTGCATGAGTCTATTTTTTTCTTAACCAGAACTAAGATGTTGATCTCTAATAAGGTTCTTAACCTTGACTTGAAAATTTTCAGGCTTCGTGAATTTACTGTTAACTTGCTCACTTGAATTAAACAATGTTTCCATGTTCACCCATGTTGTATCACTTGAGAAATATTGTACAAAAAAATCACATGCTTTTTAGATTTTTATGACACCAAGCCATAAATCCCATTCTGTAAGATAAACGGAAATTACATTGCTCCAATATTCATAATTCGAGAGAACTAGGTTTTTTTTTTTTTTTTTTCCTTTTTCGGTGCCAAAATCTCCTCCTTGAATCTTCTTTGAATTGATTTTTCACGAGCCAAATATTATTTTGCTTCATGCTTCAAAATCCCTCCACCACTCTTACTTTCAAATTCATAAAATCATTTAGACTCTGATACCAATTTGTAGGAGGCACTTCGAAGAAGAAGAACACACACAACTTTTATAACCCTCAACTTTTATAACTCTCAAACTTATATATTATTTTTTCCTCACTTACAAAATAATTTAAGAACATGCATTTATAAACACAACATACAAAATATATAATGAAATATATATATATATATATATATATATATATATATATATATATATATATTGTTTTTTAAGGAAAGTAGCAAAATATATAAAAAGAAATAAAAAATTTTGGTGGCCTTTATGCTTGGGTGTTTTATTATTCTTCACTAAACCTAGATACTTCTTTTCTTTTTTTGAAAGGTTAAACCTAGAAACTTCGCCCCCACAAGAAGTTAGGGTTTGTTCGTCCATCCATTTCTGTTTCTTTCAAGCGACAAATCGGAAGAAAATGTCAGATTTCCTGCCTCGTGATGTGTTCACCGACGTCCTCACTAGACTACCCCTCAAAACCCTCATCCGGTGCGCTTGTGTCTGCAAATCATGGTGCTCTTTGGTCACAAACCCTACACCTCAAGCGATCATCTCTTGCCAACAACAACCACCAAATGTTCGATGATTATACAGTTGCTGATAAGCTTCCACGGAACGGCCACGGGGAAGATAACTTCAGGATTATAGGTTGCTGCAATGGGGTACTATGCCTTTCCGATGATCTCCACTATTATCAGGAGAAGCTTTATCTATGGAATCCGTCGATTCAGAATCTGATGACGCTTCCGCCATTGCGCGTCACCTTTCAAACACACGGTGCTTTATTTCACAGCATCGGATTTGGCTTTGATTCCCCGACTAATGACTACAAAGTTGTCAGGATTGTGTATGCTGACTTACTCCCAGACATTCGATTTCGAACTCTTCCCGAGGTTGACATTTTCAGTCTGAGCACAGGCACATGGCGGAACATCACCCATTTGGGTCCTCCACATACCATCTACGACCGCTCTCCCCAGGCTTATCTGAAGGGGGCTGCACATTGGCTTGCTTACGATCGGAAAAGCATGAACAATCTCCAACACTTGATCGTGTCGTTCCACATGGGTGATGAGGAATTTGGCGAGATCATGGCGCCTGGTTGCATTTTTTATGACAAGGGAGGAAATGTTCGGGTTGCTGAGTTTCGAGAATCACTCTCTCTGATTGTTGGTCGTTGGGACAAAGGTACTTGTTGCATATGGGTGATGAAGGAGTATGGCATGTCGGAGTCTTGGACTAATCTATTCAATATTGATGTGAGTGGAGAATCAATCAATTGTTTAGTTGGGTTTACAGGGAAAGGCGGAGTTCTATCTGGGACAAGATTTGGGTATCTGGTCGCTTATGATCCCGAAATCAAACTAGCAACGCATATTCCTATTCTTGGATCTACTACAGATGTGGACGTTCATGGGGACGCATTTGATTTATATACTTATACAGAGAACCTAGTTTTACTTGGATCAAAATTTCGTGATAAAGTCACTTGTGAGGAATCATCTGTTTCGAGTGGAGAAGTGAGTGGAGCTAAGAAATCCAGGAAAATAAGAGTAAAACCTGAGAAGAGAAGAAAGAAGAGGCGAGGTGCATGATTTTACCTACTTTTACATATTATATTAGCGGACAAGGATTCTCTCCGGCTCCGGCGCAAGAGAGGTCCAGCACAATATCGAGTGGTTGATTGAATTGATAAATAAAATTCACTAGTGATGATGCAATCTCAACTATTAAACTCCATACCTCTCCTGCGCATTGGAAAGGATCCTCGTTGCTAAGTTTTGTTATTGCTACATGTAAACGTAAGAGATCAACCTAGCATTTAAGGTACCTATATGTCATCATCTTTGAGGAGTTGTATACAATTTATTGTTGATCTTAGTATCTTTTTGGGACTTATGTGCAATGAATAGTGATTGATTTCTTTTGTTTTTTCTTTTTTTTTTGGTTACTTTACTTTGCCTGTGCTACATATTTAACTTTTCAAAATCTTGGGGCATTTTGGTTATGTGCCATGTGTCATTGCATAGTAGGCGGATTAGCATCTCTAATCGGTGAAAGGACTATCTTCTGAATACTTCACAATTGGAACCAAAAAAAAAAAACCTTCATACGAAAAACTTTGTTAGATTAAATAAGATATTGAGACCATAGAAATTAATTAGACTTCTTTATATTATCATTTTTAAGCACTTCCCCAGATTTTCATAGTAAATGTTTCAATAATACACGAAAATTAACAGATACTATTACTATAAGACTATATAACACATTATAGACATGATAATTTCTCCTTGAAGCAGCTATATCTAAGGTTCTTATCATAATTCATACATATTTGAAACAAGAAAGCTTCAAATTTTAGAAAAAATAAGTCACAGCAGACCACACGAAATCGAATGAAGGATTCTCAAATAATTCATATTATATATGTAGAGAGGGAGGGAGAGACATACTTGTTCTGAGATTGGATCTTGTAATCTCTGAGTTGCTTGACGAGTTTTGAATGAGTTATCATTCCCCGGGACCTGTGAACTAAAAATTCTTAACCTGTCCCAATTTTCTCAACCTGAATGATATTCAATTGGAAGGAAAAGGAGGGCTTTCATCCATTGTGATTTGGTTCCTTGGTCTGGAGGGATCTCTGTCTGAATTTCCTTTACATCGGATCTGGTAACCTCTGAGTTGCACCATGAGTTTAGAACGCGTTACCATTCTCCGAGACCGTTGAACAAAAATTTCTCAACATCTCTCAATTTTCTTAACTCGAATGATAATCAAAGAATAGCTCTCACGCTCCAAGCGGGAGCGCGCTCTCGTTCTCACGCGCCCACTCCCGCTCAAATTCACACTACTTATAACTTAATACTTTCGCTCTTACGCTCTCGCTCTCAAATTTGTTCTCGCTCTCACTCTAACTTTGTGTGACTCAAGTAGTTCACCCCTCATTGTTATGCTCTTCCCTTAACCTGATGGGATGAGTTTGCAACACAATGTATAAGCCTTCAGCTGCCACCATGCCACTTATTAGCGTGTTTAAGTTTCACCTTATATAATTGTAGCTCATATAAGAAATGCAAAACAAATTTGGAAATTCTAGTCAACCAGAAAAAGAATCTGGTTGTTATGAATAGCCCATGAATTTGTTCTGCTCTCTTTGGAGTACTAAGTTTGTTCTCTTTTATTTGGAGAAATAGGGTTAGATGATTATTTTAAATTCATGAGAAAGATTAAATTATTCGTGGGCCAGGTAGCCATGCTTGGTGGGTTTTTGCAATAACATTTAAAGATCGGTAGATTCTTTTTTATTGTGATGAATTGGCTTCATAAAAGTTTTTTTTGATAATATAATTCAACCATCTCATTTTCAAAAATAAGAATAAATTAGTTTGTTTATGTCTATGTGAAGCCCACTTCTAGAACTGCTCAAACCTTTGTGCTCTTGGTCTCCTAATTTGAGCTCAAAAAATATGATGCATATGATGAAAACAGTAATTACTCAGCTACGTATCTTCCTTGATTGATGCAGTATAAGCGTCTTCTTTTTTTTTCTTTTTCATATTTTTTTCCCACTCCCTTTATGAGAGAATATACAATACCCAAAGGTATGTTACCGTCCAATGCAAAATTATGCTTTTTGTTAAAAATTATCAATTTCTTGTATATTATGAATATGCAATTGGGGGTATCAGTGTAAGTACTCTTGGAGTATTATATAATTTTTTCTCTTTTTTTGGTTTGGTATTGTTATAAATTAAGTCACATAATCATTTTCAACTGGTGTAACTTTCACGTTCCGAGTGTGCTCCCGCTATCACGCTCGTGTTCGCTCTTACTCAAATTCTCACTACTTATGACTTTATTCTGATGCATTCACGCTCCAGTTCTCGAATTCGCTCTTACTCTCACTCTCTTTTTATGTGACTTAGGTTATACACATATTTTTTGTCCTGTTATTTGAATTAATACGGAGTAACATTTTCCATATGATTTGTTTATTGAGAGAGTCCTCATGCCTCGGTACTCATAATTTCTACTTTCAAGGGCATGATTAGTAGGCCGCACCTCAGTCCCGGTTGCTAGCTTGCGGAGGCAATCCACCCATGTACAAAACCAAATGCAGCAATCTTATCTATTGCCGATCTTTCACCATCAAACGATAGTGTGACGAATTTTTGTTATCATGAATGTTTTTTTTGAATTAGACGATTCGGGGATATCTAATCTTATAATCTTGATTTTTGCATATATAAAATATTTATTTCTAGATCATATTAGTGTAATAGAGTTTGTTGAATTCCCCCTTGACTGTTAAAAGAATATTTCCTACTGTTTTCCTATGACAAAATTAAATAACCAAACGGATCTAGAAGGAAATGAGTAGTGCATGTGAGTGAATTCCAACAAAAAAAAAAAAAAAAAAAAAAGATCGATCTCCATTTCCACTCTCCCAAATACATTCTCCAAACAATCCATGTTTCACTCTTTCCATTTTTGTCCTTCCATCTATATATAAGGAAAGTAAACTGTGAATTTTATCCTTATATTAAAATAAAATTTTAAAAAAGACCAACTTTTCACCCCTAGCAAAATGCAAATAATTTTCACATTGTTTATATTAGAGCCGTTAATTCTAAAAAAAGGTGGTAGAGAATTTGAATTTTTCATCATAAATCTTGATAGGGTCGGGTCATGTAGAAAATGTAGACAAAAATGGTGCTTCATTTCTTCTATTCAAAATTTTGGTTATTGGAGTTTTCTTGCATGTGCATGTACATTGCAAATTTAGGCCAGGTACAAAGCATTTTCAAAACAAAAGGTAGGTCATTTGGTAATTGGATTGAAAACTAGCACATTTTATTTATTTTATCTGGACTGGAACCACCAATTTAATAATACAAGCAATCCATATGAACTTTTATATATATATATATATATCACATGCATATCAGGAAAATACAAATCGGAGACAACAAAAGCTATACAAAACAGTTAAACTCTTGCAACTGAGTTTCAAACCTCATAATGAAAAGGGAAAGAGTTCAAGAAATGGTAGTGTGGCGATCTACAGCAAAAGAAGGTCGACCAGTGATCAAAGTTGAAAAGGGTATAAACATAGAGAAGCAACCTTCAATAGTCTATCACGAGAGCATGAGAGCACCCAAAGCCTGCCGTCCATCCTACCGGAATCCTCTCCCTAATCACCTCAAACCCCCATTCCTCCCACCAAATCACGGCATTCCTACTAGCCTTCAACCCTACCATCATTCATCCCATACTTTCTTAACCAAAAGTCACTTTTTAAGTCTTCCCAACCATCAAAGAATTCATCATCCCCTCATGGATCACCCACTAAACATAACCCATCAACCTTTTCACACCTCAGCCATCCACAACCCCCACCTCTTAAGTCCATCCTCAAAAAATCATTCCTGCCAAGCAAATCTCCCTCTAATGTTCCACCATCACCAACCTTGAAGAAAGCCACAAAAAAAGTTGTCTTCTCTCCCTTTCTTGGGGAATCAGTGTTCTCCCACTTCAAATATGTGGATGATCACAACAATATTATGGTGGATATTGATCCGTCTAACACTCAAGCTTTGATTGATGAGATCTTCAGATTGCGTTCTAAGTTATTGGAGTACAGGAGTAACTACAAGCATAAATATCTTCTTGAAGAAGTGGATTGGCTTAGAGATATCATTGGAGATGGTCTTTGTTATCAAGCCAAATTGAAGGACAGAATCAATTTACTCAGTGATCAAATTATTGCATCCAACCATGATCTTCCCTCGGAGGATGAGGATGAGGCTCATTGCAAGGAAAATCTGATCCATTCCCAAAATGTCTCAGTACAAGTAGCCACTGTTGATATCCCAATCACCATGCCCAACCAGCTTAGAGGTGCAGCTCTACCACTCATCCTTCTCACCCTCTAGTTGAAGACACCATTGAGGCACAACCTCCTTCACCGGATGACAATGATCAACCACTGAGATAGTGCTCCTCCTCCCTCAACCACTGCCCGGCGAACGAAGGGGCCCCACATCCAACTTTAAATTTGAATTTGAAATTAAAGTCACTCATTTCAGGTAAGTCTCCCTTACCATCTTTCCATGCTCAATCCACTCTCTTTAGGTAATAGGAATGATCCCCCGCCACCTAAAGCTGACTACCACGCCTCTAATACTCTACCTAAACCCAACCCCAACGGCTCTTATGACCATATCACATGTGACCTTACAGCCTGTCCACACACTAACCAAGTTACTGATCCACTAACCAGTCCCATCAATCACAACCACCATACCTCCCTGATATGAGCTGATATAACCAGAGGGCAACCAAGAACTCCATTGGAATTTATCCAACACTCCTCACTCCATGATGGCATCATTGTCCCACCCGATTCAATTGAAGCTGAGGGGTTAACTCCCCTCAAGACTAGTCTTCTTGGGTATTTTATCCACAAAGCTCTCCCCTTTAGCATGGTCAAGGAGTTATCCAAAACCATGGTCTGATAGAGGTCTTCTCAAAGTGACAAGCTCCGAGAAAGGGCTCTTTGAGTTCTATTTCTTTACTGTTAACCAATGCA